GAGAGAGAGAGAGAGAGAGAGAGAGAGAAATATACATATATGACGTACAAGGAAAATACATGTAAGAAATTTATGTGTGTGTATGCAATATATAGATACTTAAACATTATACATGTAGAAACTTATGTGTAGAGACTTTTTAAAAGCATGTGAGTGTTAAAATTGAGATAATAGTTAAAAATATATTTTATAAATTGCTTGATTCATTATAATATCATATGATATATGGTCATGATTTTTTTTTTTGAGTTATTGATTATCGACTGTGTAACAAACTAAGAGTCTCTGGAATATTGCATGCTATTGCTTCTATATCATTCTATTTTTTGCCTTTTCTACTTACATTTCATACAAATTTTTTCATAGTAATGTTAAAGAAAAAGATTATTTTTCTTGTTTTCTTTTTTCTTTTATTCTTTAATAGTTATAAAGGAGAGAAACAACTTTTTTATTAAATTTTCATTAGATAAAAATGTCAAAATATAAGTTCATATTAATATTTCAAATCAAGAATTTGATTAATATATTGAAAGTACGAATTCCAAGAAAGTACGAGTTTTATTTGAAATAATATTGTATTATTTCTTTGAATATTTCTCTGAATGTAATATTGTGTGTTTCATAACTGTGAAATAAAATGACACAATATTATCTTCAAAATTGTTTTATATAGATATTTATTTTTGCATATACTACATAAAGAAGAATATAGAAAATTAATTTAAAAATTAATTTATATGTAATTGTGTACAAAACATAATATATATATATATATGTAAATATATATTAAAATATAACTTGTATATGAAAATAAAATTAACAAGATATATTTATATATATTTATATCAATAATAGTTAAAAGTTATAAAAGCATAAATAATTGTGCTCTAATTATATTTTTAAGAAAATATCTTTTCTTTAAAAATCGGTTTTTATATTCATTTCTTATATTTTTTCACATTTTACATTTTAAATATGTATAATATTTTAAGTTGAGGATATTATATTTTGAAAATTATATTTTGATATTTCATGCATTGTGAAATGTAGTGAAAGAAGTAATTACACATATTTTAAATATTATATTTTTTTTTTAAATTCTGAATTTTTATATCTTATATTTTATATCTTATATATACATACTAAATGAAATATTTTGAATAAAGTATGCTAAATTTTTTATCAAAAAAAATACCTATGCTTATATTATAAGCATATATATATACCAGTTATCTATTTATTTTGAACAGTATATTATTGTGTAATAGTATACGTAACAGTATATTAATTATAAATTATATTTTATATTTTTATTAAAGTAAGTTATATTTATGTGTATATAATGAACTGATAAAAATAATGAAATTTCATAAAAAAAAATATTTTTCTCAATTATTTCATTTTTAAAATTTATTTTTAATTATAATCATTTTTAGAAATATAATTTAAATATGATTTGAAACGAACGAAATTGAAAAATATTAAAAATTTTCTCGCAGATTACGTTGATACAATTTTTCGATTTTTTAATAGTTTAATAGTTTAATTTTGTAAGTTTAATAATAATAGTAATAATAAAATAATATACAAAATTTAATAATTTAAATAGTACATAAACTTACATTTTTTAATGAAATGTTTTTTTTAAATGAAAAATATATATAGTGATCAAGTTATTTAATCAAGCTAAGATAATCAATTTTTTTCTCTTAAATAGTAAGAATAAGAAAAAAATGAAATAGAAAATATTTAGTATTTTCTTCAATTAATATAGTGTATTAATTTTTTTTATACTTGCAATATTTCAGAGAAACTAAAATGACTTTTAATTCTTTATGAATGTATATACATAATTTTAAGTACATAATTTTATATACATAAAATAAATATATGTACATAATTTTATAAGTAATAATATTTTTTTATTACATAAAAGCATATATTAAAATAATATTTTTCGTATGCTATATTAATGATTTTCTTAAAAGTTTAAAAATTAAGAATATCTTATATCAATATACTTAAACTATTTTTTTTTANAAATTATTAGAAATATTAATATATAATATTAATATAACATCAATTAATTTATTTATTATAAAAAATTTATGGAAGATAAAAGAATTTTATTTATATATATTGTTTTTGTTTTTTAAAAACAAGAAAAATATCTTGAGTCTGCAAGAATGAAAAAACAATTTGGCTAATATTCTTAAATAATTTTTGTCGATAGCTTAATAACACTTTAAAGATTTATTTTGCAAAAGAATATAGCTTATTTGTATACATAATTAATAATCAATTTAATCCTTTATATTATTTAAAATATTTAGTACTTTGAATTTATTATAATTATAATTATTCTTATATATCAATTCTTATAATCAATTCAAAGATAATTAATTAGTTAATTAATTAAAAGTTTTATTATTCAGATTTGATTAGGCTTAGGAGAAATTAGTAATTTTTTTTTTATATTTGTTATTTATGTGAAAGTTAATTAAATTATTTTTTTTTAATTATCAATGATTGACAAATATTATAAAATTATATATTTATAAAAAAATATGAAAATTAAATTGTTAAAATTATTAAATATAATTTATAATGTTTGTATAGTCTTTTTTAATTGTTAATTTGTGATAGTAATTTCAAGTGTTCTTTATTATCTGCATATATATTCATGTATTTGCATTTACTCAAAATATTTAATAAAATATTAAATTGAAATATTAAAATATTTAATTGAAATTTGATATTATATCGATATAATAAGAAATAATATAAAGTTTTTGCGAATTAAATAAAATTGTTA